CAGAGTAGAAATTAATTATCCACCATCTAATAAAATTTTGGCTTTTTCCTTTTAAGGCTATAATTTCAGTTTATTCCATTATCATTATTTTTTGTATATCTTTTAAATTGGCAGACCTGGAATGAAAAGTAATAAATTGAGAATAAAGATGAATAATTTAAGACATTAATAAATACAATGGGATAATTTCCTACTATTATTTTTAATTTGTTTAATGGTTTCTCTTTTATCCACGAGAAAAATATAATTTGGGTAGAAGATTTTGCTGAAATATGAGTGTTTATTATCTCAAAATACAGATAAATTCCACTTAAGATAATAAATTCAATTTTAAATTATGATCATGACACTTTCTAGCAAATTGGTTAAGAAAGTTTAATTTATAAACAAAAAATGAATTAGCTACAAATGCAATTTTTTTATGCTAAAAATAAGTTGCAATGTGCATGATTTATGGGACTGATGACAAGTACAATCGTAGCAAATGCACCGCTCTCATTTGCATCACTCCGCAGAAATTCACCGGCACTAAACGTGTCACAGGCAGCTCTCGTGTGTAAACCAGAAAGAAAAGTTGTATTTAATTCTCTGTTGTTGCACAGGACCAACCCAGCGCCAGCCAGCAATAATGCTAAGTGCACTTTTTATAGTCACAGAGAGCAGCCAGCCTACGTAGAGTTCTCTAGCATCAGCGTAAAAAGCATTCTCTTGTTTGAAATGCCACCAGCGAAAAAAAAAACAGAGAGTTTACATTTTTGCGTCCATTTTTCAGATTGGTTTCTCTGTAATATTTTTAACAACAAGATTTCTCATTTTTGCGACGTGCGTAAATAAATTCATAAGATTGTTCCACTCTGATAATTTGATTGGAACATCTCTTGGAAAATGATTTGCATTTTACCAAGAATTTAATTTCGCGATGAAGAGTGCGCGGGGGAGTTGACGATGAGATATTTAGTGTTCATTGATGCAAAAGGGAGGCGCACAGGTGGGCGGGAAACGCTTATGAATTGAAGAAAGATGGAAAGGGTCTTTCGCAAGAGAATTGTACCTTGACGACGTTCCCGGCGGAAATTATTCAACACCCGTCGGCGAAATTCTCTTTATGCATATTAACGAGACTTCATCAAATATGATTTTGTACTCGAAGCATATACACGAGTTGCGTTATTACGTGGAGAAGATGCAAGTTGGTAATTATTAACTATAGTAAACATGAACGCCGCCGCAATAAATGCATTTGCCTTGCTGGATTGAAACTTATCCTCCGCTGAACAAACACTGCTCGCTATATTAAAAGCTCGGCCAGCACATTCGAGGCAAGAGATTAAAGCTTTACCTGCAGAGCCAATCAGCTTAATAAATTATTATATTATATCGCGGCGGCGTAGAGTGCTCTCGGGGCTGTTTGCTATATCTGCGTGTTTTTGCATTCGGTTCTGAACGGCCACTCTGCTCATTACCATAAAATGCTTCGCAACGATGGGTGGAGAGAAAATGCATTTTCCGTCCGTCCTTTCCAGCGATAATCCCATTAGTGATACAGTCCGCTGTATGAAATAAAATTGTACATCAAATGCAAAGGAAACAAATTTAATATAATTAATCATTTTTACCTTTTATAACATAGAATTGTGATTTGAGAAGATTTAAAATCTGAAAATGTTGAAATTTTTAACCTAATGCAAGTTTTTGTTTATTTATATTGCTATAGTTCATTCATATCACAGAGAAGAAACTAATTTTAGTTATTTTAACTGCCATAAACATTAAATGTTTATGAAATTCCTAGTAAAATTAAAATCATTTCAAATAATATGCAATTATATAAAAATATATTTTCAAATAAATATTATTTAATAGAAAAACCAAGACTTGGTGCAATATGTGGCCGCCTGAATTTTTTTGTTACAGCTTGTGATTGTCACTGCAAATTTACTTGAAGTTAAAAGCGGGAGCTTTTTATGATACAAGTGGGGACAAAAACAATTTGTAAGCAAAGGAGTTTCGCTGAGGCTGAAACTCATCATACGATTCGCGCTTAACTCGATTCAACACGTACGGCTGCACTTTGGAGTGTGACGGCGGAATATAAACAACAAAAACACACGGGGCGAATGTTGCTCGTCGCAAAAGTCTTCTGCGCGCTCGGCTCGTAAAAGTAACTTGCTTTTCTCTCTCTAGCGTATTATATTCGCCGAGTTGAAAACACATCTGCATTGAAATATTAAAATTCACTCACGGTGCAGCGAATTAGCAAAGTGTGTTGGAAAAGCTGCTGTGAGGCAAGCACGAATTTTCCAGCTCGCGGTCGTAAATCCGCCGTTTTATTTCGCATTATTGATATAATCTTGCCGGCACATGAATTTCAGAGCAGAGGGAAGAAATGTAATAATGTGTGTGGCGCAAAATTTACAGCCAGACCGACTTTTCTCCCTTTGCAGTCGTGTAAAAATTATGTGCACCACTTTAAAGCTCTCAGGTGGAAATACTGATTTTGTTTTCCCTCAGCAAAATATTATTTCTCGGAAAATGGGAAATTCTAATTTCCAATCCAATTCAGGCAGATCAAGAGTTGAAAGGTTGGAACTCATTTCTATTCATAAGGGAAAGGGTCAAGCGAAATACGCCACTGGTGAAAAAAGTTTTCATCCATTAATGTATAGCAAAAATGTGTCACTCTGTGCCCAGCGAGCCAACATTTTTTTACATCCACCGAAATCTAAAAAAACCCATTAGGTTTTGAGCATATTAACAAATTCCATCATCGAAAATCGGAAAACTTTTGAGGAGAACCGAGGGTTGGTTAATTTTGTTTCGAATTTGTATTATTTAAACCGTGACCCATCCTTTGTACCCATTTTCATTCAATGTTATTTTTTGCCTGGAAATAGCATTAACGTGGCGCGCTTGGTGTTGCCGGCAAGAAAACAGAAACATTGCATGTGAAATGAAAATTAAACAAAAGTGTCTCGAACAATACTCAGCGGGAGTTGCCGGGATAAATAATAATAATATAGAGGCGGCGTGCAGTTGCATGTCAAAATGATATGGAAGGTAAACAGTTTTTTATTCCGACTCCGTTTGTATCTAATCTCCAATAATAAAATTAACCTCATAATGCAGCCGCTGAACTTTGAATTCGTGAGAGAGCATAATGGTTTAGTGCCCCCGAGTGTATAAATAAATATTCAAATATTTGTCCTGCCGTGATACAGACAAAGGACATAATTTGAATATTACGAGCAGAGAGAGAGAGACACCGTAAATAACAAAAGTGACAACCCAAAATGGAATATTTAATAACTTTTCACAGTCCTCCAAAAAGAATGACACGAGAAAATGACGCTTGCATGCAATTTTGGAGAATAAATATTGAATCAACAGCTTTTCATGTGCGCAAGGTAATGCAGCGCAGTTTTTTGCAACTGGTCTCGAGGTCGCTGACTCGCAACTTTCCAATGAACAGAGACGGCGAATGTAAATCGGAGATTCTCCAGACGATTCTCAGTCGCATAAAATTGTATGTGCGCATTGACCTTTTAATGGAAATCATTCACGGAACAAAGAAAAATTACATAATAAATTGAAAGATTATTTTATTTATTGCAAATGTTTAACTAATAAAGTCATTTGTATTTATTTTTGACCTAAATTGTCGAGAATGAGTGTTATTGTGTTGGAAAACTATTATTAAATATTTATTCAAATTGTTATGAGGCAGGCTCGAAGTAAATTTAGAATAAGTCATAACAGTCTTTCTAGATTAAAACGTCAGGTCAAAAGTCATTTGTGGCTCGTCTGCTAAAAAAGGACAGATTAAAAAAAAAAGAGAGGCGCGGTGAGAAAATAAAAAACCACCTAGTGACACACATTCATAAATCACATCACATCCGAACAAAGAAAGGCTAGCAAGAGGTATACGTGTATTCCCGCACACATTCACTGCAATTCATATAAAAAGTGAATGCACGCGGTGTGAACGTGAGCCGCGTCTCGTAGCCATTCTGGTTCATTCAGAACAGTCATCTTTGCGAGATGCAGTTCGTTGTCTGCTGAGCCACTGGATGATATAACAGAGAGTACGTCACGGCTGCTTAAAGTGTTGCAAGATGCAACGTTTAAAAATGATGAAATTTAGAATCATTAAATTTTTTTGAAAGTTTGAATAAATTTCATCATTTGTTTGATCATGTTAGCTACAACTATTGGATTTAAAAATGATTAAAAAATAAACATTTCGAGTCTTAATTGAAAAATTTGTAGGAAGTATTATAATTTGATTATAAATAGTACGATCGATTCTATACAATTCAAATCTCAACCTACAGATAATTATTTGAACTCTTTGTATTTTGTAACCCCAAAAACCAATTAATTCAATGGTTTTTGGGGTCAACAATTTATCTGTATAAATTTAACGTAATACGTAATAATGTTATAAAATAAATATGAAGCAATTTGGTTATTTAAAGCAACACAATTATTACACATTAAAAAGTCAGTCTGATAAAAAGAGACAGATATGTAGTATATTAAAAAATAATAATTTACCAATTTACCACGCATTAATTAATTATATTGGCAAAACTTTTTATTTTTTTTTTAATTTATTATTATATATTTATTGGGATTAAAAAAAAATATATTAATAAAAACAAAATAATTGTTTTTTCTTATCCTAATCACACTATTTTGCAGAGACTACAAATTAAAATAAGAACATTTTTTCAGAGATTTTAAATTATTATTGAGCCATTGCTGCTGAAATCATCAATGCCCCTCACTTAGAAAGCAAATCAAAGTCCACACAATCAAATATCTAATCATTCCTCTATCAGTCAATAGTCCAATATTTTGCGCAAATGAAAAACAAATCAATCCAGCGCCAGCTGGTTTGATAAAACATGCAGATAAATATCTCGGGCTTTGCATTCAACATACGCACTACTAGACCATCGAGTCCCACCACTGTTCGCGGCGGACCCCACTCTCGCTCAATCACTAACACGCGGTGTTCATTGTGAAGGACACATCGCCTATTACGCAGTTCGGAATCGGACACACAGCACGCCTGTTTGATTATAATAAGAAGAGACCGAGCCGGCGAGCTTCAGTTCGAATCGAAATGCATCGCTGGGTAGGCAAAGTTGCTCTCCTCACTGAGATGGCCGAGGGTGCTGGACCCTCACTGGCCAAACACCTCGTCAACAGAGGCGTCCGCGTCATTGGATTGGCGAAAAGGGTTGATAATTTGGGGGTGAGTAATTATTTTAATCATTATTTTTCTTTTTTCTGAAAATGTCCCATATTTCGACAATCATGTTTTCTTTTTACATAAAATTATATTTCGGTCGCCATTAAATTTTATAACTTTATTTTCCCAGTCTAAATGAATTCAATTGTTGTAATAAAATTCAATAATCAAAATTATAATAGAACCCAAAATAGAAAATTTTTGTGGGAAAAAAGGCTAATTTAACCACAAAGTTTCTCAGAAATCATTTTTTTTTTTCAAATTGGTTGCAAGCGCCAGTATGAGTAAAATTAGAACTTAGAAATTATTTAAATTAAAAGGAAAACTTATTAGTGTTTAAAGCATAGCAAATCAAATTTTGTTTCATTGACCTCCTTAATTTTTATGAAATTCTTTTCTTATTTGATATTAATTGCACTTTTTGTTTTAATTTAGTGAACCCTTTCTTATGAAGTTAAGAGTACTTTTTTTTCATTGTGAGCCTTGAAAAGGGGAAGAATAAAATATTTCGCTCGCAATTTTTTGCGTGTCTGAAACTGCCCAGCTCACAATTCATACGAATTAAAAGCAATTTCGTGTTATTATTGCCGAACAATAGGGTATTCAGAATCTGGGCGAGAAGAAGAGCATCTCTTGCTCGCATAAATCCAGAAGCTTTTCCGCCCGAACGTTTTTACGCACAAACACAAAAAGCAAGATTTAGATTTTCAAGTGTGGGGTGTGTATTTTTGCAGAGCTCCGGCCAGCACGGCCAAGTCCCGGGCGGCTCCGGCGGAACCCTTTACGCTCACAATTGCGACATCACAAAAGGCGAGGACATTATGCGCGTCCTGAGGTGGACCCGTGCCCGACTCGGGGGTGTGGACATTCTCATCAACAATGCACAGGCACATAAAGGTAAATCATAATGAATTTATGGCGGTTCTCTCCTGCTGCCTCTGCAAACCCGAAAAATAATAAAAAAAAAGTGTCGGAGAAAAGAGAGCCGGCGAGGTATAAATCACGCGCGCGCCCTCTGTTTTTCCAGCCGCCCCTAATAGAATAAACACACACCCCGCCGGGGGATGCCCAGTGGTAGATGGATCGGGCCTAATCTCACTTTTCTATTTGAACGCCGACGTGCCACAATCAAATATTTACCATACCGGCGAGATATCTCTGATCAAATAGTGAAATCTTGGCACCAAAGTTCAATTATTTTTTTGGCGCTTTTGTATAAAAGGTTTTTAAAGGAAATTATTATTGCATAATATTGTTTATGGCTTAAAGATATAGTGAAATTTGTTTCTCTACTGTATTTATATTTTATTTGTTGCTATATTAAAAATTTGGAATATTGAATTAGACCTTGCATTTACACTATTGTATTCTCTTTAAACAATTTCACTGAAAGTTGAATATTTATAACTGCAAATTTGTTCTTTTACTTGAAATGTTGTTTCTCAAATTTTTTTAAATTTTAATTTATTGATCACAAATTATTTCAAACAAATTAAATAAAATATATATGCAATATTCATTAAATAAAAATATAAAAAAAGTTTACATTAAAACATAATAAAAAATTATTTATAACTTAATAAAAGGCTTTAAAATAATGTTTTTTTTTTACAAAAGTGAACAAAAAATAGCGATCAGGCCCTTTTCAATGTCTAAATTTGCAGACACTACCTTTTTTGTTCTTAAACGTCCAATGTTTTTACAATTAGTGCGGATCTCGTTTAGACGATCTTCCTTTCCTCTTGCAAAGTCCTTTCTCGGAGGAGTTTTTAATTATCCGTGTCAATCAACGACCTGATCGGTGTTACTTGAAGGGCACCTATATATTGCTAATCCGCCTTAGCAACCGAGCAGACGGACTTCTTGCGCCATATAATCTCGACAAGCAGCAATTAATCTGCTCCTCTTCTTTCCTTTCTCAAAGAAGAAGTCCCGCACTTGAGGATATAAAAAACAAAGAGCGAGTTGATTTTATAAAGAACGAAAAAACCTATGTTTGCAGACACGGAGCTGATGAACCCGCGCACCATTTCGCCTTACTTGCACTGCGCCTTCATGACCGAGGTTTTGCGGGACATGCAGGACTCCAAGGACGAGGGCCACGTCGTCAATATCGGCAGGTAAAATTGCGGAAAATAAACATTGACTTTGCTCTTCTCGACCGGTGGCCATTAACGGTGAATTACTCGCGTTGCAGTGTGGCTGATAAGCTCTTCCCGTACTTTGGAATTTACGAGCACAGACACGCTGGAGACGGCGTCAGCCAGCATGAAATCCACCTCGAGGCCGGCAACAAAATCAAAGTCACAGTGAGTTTCGCAATTTTGTTTTCATTCACTTGGATTTTTGTAGGTCGAACGATGATTTTAAGACTTTGTTTGTCTTTTTTTCTGATGCAATCTTGCACGGGTGTTTACAATCCATAGAAAGTTACTAACTCATTTATTAAAATTTAAACTTGACCTTTTATTTTAATGATAAAAAAGCAAAAATATACTATAAAAAATTTTACACTGTCAAAAGAACAATTAAGTGTTTATTACTAAAAACAAAAACTTCTAACAAAAGAATTTGAATGTTAAACTTGAAAAGTCTTCTAATCTTACATAAAAGTCTCTTTGACAAAATTAAAATCAAACTTCAGAAGTAAACCCCTAAAAAATATGCTTTTATCATACTCGAGGCTGCAATAAAGCATAAAAGCCCAATATCATAAATTTGCATTAAACGTAGCGGAACGGTGACTCTAATATCCTTTTTATTCAATTTTTTTCCAGAACATTGTACCCGACGTTTTAGGAAGCAAGGATCTTGTTCACATTTTGGAGGAAGCTCTGCAGCGATTCCCCCACCAGGTAGCAAAAACATTTTATTATAGAACTGCATGATTCTCTTTTGAGTCGCAGCACCGGCGTCTACTTTGCCAAACCAAAGGCACTCATTAAAATTTATATTGCAGGAACAAGAGAAGGTCGCCTCGGTCGCTCTGTGAGCCAACACTGAAATGAACTGCTGCCTTTGAAGAAAGATACTCCGCACCTAAAATTTATATTTGTATAATGACTATGTAAATAATACTTGTAAGGAGAGAACAAACTTTGCTGGAATTTTGTATGTCGAGTCTGAGACGGTTTTTTTTAACAAAATATTATGCAAACTCGTAAATGAAAAAACCAAAAATACTTTCCTCTCGCTTTTCATACAATTCTTCTAGGAAAGAGAAAAAGACTTTACTGTTAACTTTTAGTTCATAATGACCCCCTAAAGTGTGTTAAGACTCTTCATTAATGCAGAGGATAATTTTAATAAACTCCAAAAAAATTAAACTGCTGAAAAAGGTATTTTTTTTCAACTAGGCATCTGATCTCGTCACTTTCGTTGAAAGTTTTTCTGTTTTTGCTCAACGAAAGAAAGTTTGGACAAACTTTAGGAAGCCGTTGATGCTCATCTTGTTAAATTTAAGAAGCAAACACAGAAGACGTTAGAAGAACAACTTGCTCTCTTTCGCCGTGCCAGTGTCAGGCGATTATTTAAGCAGGCAAAAAAGCAGCGCAGATTGTCTCTCGGGAGAGCGACTCGTAATTATCATATCTTGAACGAGCTTCATACAGCGAGGCGAGCTGCATTGCACGAGAATATTCATGAGCCCTGACATATTTTATTTATATATTTCATATACGGCATCATCAGAAATTCATTCCTCTGCGCTTTCTGCCGCGCTTCTTGCCAAATGAAAGAGCGGCCGCTGCTTGCGACAAATATGCAAATCCGGTTAAAAGGCATCACGATTGCAACATATTTCCGCTCAGCGTGCATGCGTACACTTGGTGGCGAAAGAGACTTTTGAAAGAAACTTCTTTAAAAAGAACAGCTGGTGCGAAACGTGAGCGTGTCTTTGAATGAAATTTGAATAGCGTCAGATTGCATGGAAAAAGATTCGTATGAATAAATTATACAGAGCAAATATAAAATGTATTAGAATTTAATTGCAGTATGGCATAAAATTATATTAGTAATAAATAATTGACAAAAGTCTAGAATTTTATACTGCATGTTATTTCACTCGTCTAAAAATAAAATTTATTTTTGAATAAAATGAAAATTAATCCGCAGCAGAAACAGGGATCTCCGTGGAAATATTATTTCAGCGTCGCATATTAGCAAAAATTTATAGTTTCCATATCTTGGCAGGTCAAACCATTTTTATTATTTTTTTTTTTTTTATTGGCAAATTTTTATATAGCAAATTTAATTTCAAATTTTTAATACCCATTGCTTAAGTTTCCCTTTTCGGATGAGAAAATTCAGCTCTCATGTTTGGGCAGAAGTCTGCATAAAAAAAATGGAGCCATCTTTCTTGGCCCTCTCTTCTTAAATTGTTATTCCCCTGCTGAGTCCAAAAATGCCTTAAGAGGAGATTTTCAACTCAAGGCCCTCGAGCACCGCCTTGTAATTACGGTAATGAAAGCAGCTGCTGCTTCTTTCGCTTTTTCGTCGCAAAGAATAATTAGCGAGAGGATCAGCTTTTTTTCCCTTTTTGCTTCCGAGGCACCACACATACATAGTCCCAAAAGCACCTCTCAAAGCAAACAACGCCACCTGAGGAACAAAAAGCGCTTCCCTCTCCCGGTTGTTAACGCAAAATTGCGTCCGCACGAAATAGTTTCCGAGTATAAGTGGCACCAATTAATTTGATTTAGCCTTCTGCGTGTTTCGGCAAAACAACTGGAGAAGTTTTCCTTTGCTTCTCTCCGCTTTTCAACGACAATTGATTTTAATGGTGCAATTAGCCAATGTACCCGTTTAATTGAGGCTGCCGAGTTCTCAACTGCACACACGCGTAATTGAAAGTCAAGGGCCGCAAATTGAATTGGGTCCGTGGAGTGAGTAGGTCAATTCGGACGAATCATAAAAGTAGCTTGCGCGTATAAGACGATGAGCCATTAATGGATGTGCCCTCCTAAAAGACCTCTTTTTTATTAATGAAGATTAATAATGAGTCAAGACCTTTCGCAATAGGTTTCATATAATTATGTACCCTTAATTTTATAAAACATAATTTTGGTAATTAAAATTTATTATATATTCTTCACTTTAAAACCAACCATTTTTTTTTTTTTTAATTTAATATTTCACCTCGCAAAATTCGAAAACAGCCCCAGGACACTCACAAAAGTAAAAACCTATAAATACGACAAATATGAATAAATTACAAAAAGATTAATTAATTTTTTTATGTTTCATCAAAAAAAAAATTAAAACTACTCTAATAATAAGCCATTTTCAACGATGGATGTGTAAATTTAGTTGAAAATTAAGCTCCTTGGTGTATCACAAGGCAATCACTGTCTATAACAAGATTCATCATCTAAATATTCCAAATTGATCTTCAATAAACCCAATAAAGAAATTTAATTTTAATTCACTTCAATTTTGTGTAGAAATAATGTAAATAAAGCGCCTATCAGCTCATTTCCTTTGACTCGTTAAAACATGTTAATATCATCCAAATTTATCAAGTTTATTAGATTCCCAAGCTGTTACCTTTAATCCAAGGTGCGGTTCCAAATTTATATCTCACTTTACTTCATCCCCGCCAAAGACAGTTGATTGCGTGTGAGCGAAGACTTTGATCCAGACAGTCAATTAGCGTCGTGACTCGCGGCGTAATTATTAATATCGCGGTGGCGGCGGCGGCGGCGCTTTTGCGTGAGTCGTTTCCATCAAAGAGTCGCGATGACGAGATGGCGGAGGCGGCGATGAGCTCTCGCTCGATTGAATTTCAATTTGCGCGTCGACAACCCCCGTGCAGCATAATTAGCAGACGGAAAAGCAACAGCTTCCTCTCTCTCTGCTTGTGCGAAATATCGAGTACAAGATGAAAAAGAAACTGTCACTGCAATATGGGCGCTTTGGCGCTTACGTGACTTTATCTTTAATTTTCCTCGCCCAGCGCAGCACGGAAAATGAAGCAGCCCCTTTAAAATATGAAGCCTCTCTAGAATTCATAATTCCGGACTCATTAAATTTTATTACGCTTTTTCTTCTGCGTCGTACTGCGAGCCTCGCCTGTCCTTTCAGCACCTGGGCTTCCGCATCCTCTACCCTTATGTATGAGAGCATAATTTTTTTTAGCCGTCACAATTTTCTCGGGTCGGGCTAGTTGACGAATCTGCAAAATTGAATTTCGCCAAAGATTCCAAAATTTTATCGCTTTCTTTTGTAGCCGATCATTTTGCTATGCCAATTGAATTTAAGCCTGTGTGAATTAATCAGATGAGCTATCATTGTTCACAGATCTCCTAGGAGATAATTTTGCATGTTTTTGGCCCATCCCTGATGATATTGCGACAAGGCATTTCACAATTTCATCTTATATTAGAGAGGCACGAGAGGAGAATGATTTATTTTGCTGGCCTTGTTCCTCGTATTATTTGAAAGACAACATAATTTTCTTCCAGTTCTCTTAAGAAACCATTAATTTAATTTATCATCAAAACTTTTACAATTATCTTGAAGATGCAATGTCATTAAATTCTAGTAGAGAAATGAAATTATAAAATCTTACCATCAAAGCTTTATTTAAAAATAAATTTTGTGTTTATATTGTACATATAAAAATCCATATTATAATATGTTTCAAATAGATAAATTAAATTTTTTTACTAAGAACATAAATAATAAACCTTTTAATTTAAAAAAAAAATGTGTTTAAATAAAAATAATGTAAATTAAGTCTTATAAATTAAATACATATTATATATTTTAACAAATTTAGATTAAGATGTAATTTTTTTTTCCTTAATTTAAATTAAAGGCTGAATGGTTTTAAAGCATTTGATTAAGCAGTCTGAATTTTGAATATCGCATTTGCTGAGGGATTGACAATTCGGCGCTCGTAACGGCTCAATCGGTAATTGAAAAATTCGGCGTTGTGCTTACGCCGAATGATTGCCCACTCAAATTTTGAACCAGAGAAACGCAGTCTCGGAATCCTCGGCCGGCAAGAGGGGCAAATCAAATAATAAAAGAGCCTGGCGCGTGTTTAATTTAGAAAAGCGATTTTCCCTACCTTGGGGGCCCGGCGATGGTCCCTGGTTCGGTTGGGGTCCTCGGCAGGTCGGCGAAGTCCTCTGTTGGCTCAAATTCGGCGAGAAACGGGCGAGACAGGCGAGAGGCGACTTTTGTTTTTACTGCAAAAATGCACACTTTCCCCTCCATCCTGGGCTGCTGCTGCTGGTTTTGGTGCTCCAAGACGAGCCAAGACAAGAACGAACAAGTCAGGACGGGGATGAGAGATGTACTTGTAGCTAGAGGCAGGAAGAAATACATAATAAAAATGACATTTTAATTAATTTTAAAATTAAAAATTTCACATAACATTAAAAACGCGATTAAAATTTAAAAAAATCCCTATTTTCAGCATTGATCGTGTGATGAAATGGCGCAATTTTATTTTATTATTTTTTTTTTAAACAAATCAATTGGAGCTGAGCAGTTATGAAGCGTTTGTGTGGAATTTTTTCCGAATGAATATTCGTTATCACGGTTATCAGGGAAAATTTTTGAAAATAAAAATTAACATTGAAAAATGTATCTTTCTTATTTGTTCCTGGTGATTTGAATTTAAATTAGGCTTTTCCTCAATGGGTTTTTGTGACTTTTTATTGTTTAAGAAAAAACAATATCCTTCTTACATGAGCTGTGAAAATATTTTGACTAAAATTTAGTACAAAAATGAATCTTTTTTCAAAAATTATTTTTTTTCTTAAATTGACAATTTTACTGAGAAAAATTATTGAGATCAACATTTCTACACAAACAAATTTTTAACACAAAATTTGACATATAATTCAAAATATTTTTAAAGAACAATTTTATTATAGGATAATATTGTTTTTTCTTAAATAATAAAAACTCACAAAAACTCATCGAGAAAAAGCCGAATTTAAATTCAAAGCACCATGAATCAAACCTCGATTGTGAAATTCAACTTCTTTTTTGTTTTAAGCCAATGTCGCTCGAATATTTTTTTTATTTTCCTTTAGAGGACTCGGACCCAAAATTAAAATATTTCCAAAAAATTATTTCGTCCATAATAAATAATTAGAATAATTCATTTGGAAAAAATTCCACACAATGCTTTATAACTCATATAAAAAATATCATGAATTATCTTTAAAAAAAAAAAAAAAAAAAAACATAACGACATTACCGCCATTTCATTACGCTATCAATGCTGCCAATATTTATATTATTTTTGAACGAGTTACATTACATTAATTAATTAAGGACTTCTTATTGACATAGTCAAATCAAGTCCTTACAACAATATAAACAGATT